CGCGCGCATTCGTCTGGTAAATTTGCAACACTTTCAGATATCATGATGGCCGCGAACCGAACCGAGAACCGAGAACTGGCCCCCGAACCGAACCGGCCGAACCGGACCGGTCCTCGACCCGAACCGGCCGAACCAAACCGCGCCAACCTCTGACCCGAACCGGCCGGACCGAACCGGCCCGACAAACCGAACCAGCCGAACCGGACCGGCCGCGACTTCGGCGACCTGACCCCCGCCCCTCAGGAGGAGCTGACCCCCCCTCACGAGGACTCCCGGGACCTGACCCCCCCTCAGGAGGACATGACCCCCCCTCGGGAGGACCTGACCCCCCCTCGGGCTGGAGGAGGCGGGGGACCTGACCCCCCCTCAGGAGGACCTGACCCCCCCTCGGGGCCGGAGGGAGCGGGAAACCTGACCAACCGTCAGGAGGACTCCCGGGACCTGACCCCCCCCTCGGGAAGACCTGACCCCCCCCCCCCCCTCGGGACGGATGAGGCGGGGGACCTGACCCCCATTTGGGGGACCTGACCCCCCCTCGGAACGAGGACCTGACCCCCCCTTCGGAACGAGGACCTGACCCCCCCCCTCGGGGCTGGAGGGGCTGGAGGAGGGATGGCGGAGATGCACCTGACCCCCACTCGGGGCTGGAGGGGCGGGGGGACCTAACCCCCCCTCAGGACGGCGGGGACCGGAGGGGACCTGACCCCCCCTCAGGGCGCGGCGGCGGGGGACTTGACCCCCCCTCAGGACGCGGCGGCGGGGGACCTGACCCCCCGTCAGGACGCGGCGGGGGCGGGGGGGGGGGACCTGACCCCCCCGCAGGCCGCCGGGGCGCGGGGGACCTGACCCCCCTCTCAGGATGCCAGGGGCCGGGGACCTGACCCCCCCTCAGAGACCTGACCCCCCCTCAGGACCGGGATCCTGACCCCCCTCAGGCCGCGGAGGGCCGCTCCCTCCCTCGTCCCTCCCTCCTGCCGCTTCCTCCGTTCCTGCTGCCCCCTCCCTCCCTCGTCCCTCCCTCCGTCGGCCCTCCCTCCGTCGGCCCTCCTCCGTCGTCCCTCCTCCCCCCTTCGTCCCTCCTTCCTCTCTCCTCCCTCTCTCACACTCTGCCGCTCCCGCTCCCCACTCTGCCGCTCCCTCCGCTCCTGCTGCCCCGCCCCAGCAAGGCGCCTCGGTCGCGGCAGGGCGCCACGGGCGCGGGCCAGCGCCCCCGCCGCCCACCGTCGTCGACGGTGTCGACGTCGTCGACGTCGTCGCCTCCATCGCCGTCGTCGACGTCGTCGTCGCCTCATGTCCAAGAGTTCGGGGGTGTCTTGGAACCGAACCGGCCGAACCGGAAACCCTCGGCCGAACCGAACCGGCCGAACCGGACCGAACCGGCGGAACCAAGCGACCGAACCGGACCGGCCGAACCGGACCGGCCAATACACTCGAACTGGACCGGATGGACCGAACCGGACGGCGATCTGAACCGGACCGGCCGAACCGACACGAAGGCGCGCCGAACCGGACCGAACCGAACCGAACCAGGGCCATCATGAGATATTCGTATGGTCGGAATGCCAGAAATAGCGCTCTGGCGCGATTCAGAATTGTCCACATGAAACCATACCGTTGATTCGCGGTGTTGAATTCCCAAGAAGTGTGTCCTGGCATGCTTTACGAGTGTCAAAAACGAAGCAGGCACGTTGATTCGCGGCGTGTGGTCCCAAGAAAACAATAGCTTGGCACGATTGAGGGTTCACAAGCGGTTGTCGCCTAATGGGCCACTTCCCGCAATGAAATTGAAGGGCCCTATGAGGCCAGGAGGGCACTTGGGGGAGGGTTTGTCGCAAAATCGTCGATGCGTCTTGGGTTTACACTGGCCCTCCCTCCTCCTCCCACTCCGCCTTCCCCCCCCGCGCTCGCCGATGGACGAGGCCGACCAGCCACAGCTCGGAAAGCTGCGCTCCCTACCCCCAGGCTGGACCTCTTGTGTGGGCCCCAGATGTGGCAGTTCTGCGGAAGCAGGTGGGGGAGGGGCACGGAAGACACATGCGATGAGACCTCTCTTGCCATGAAAGATCTTGGAGCACGCTCTTCGTCGAGCTTTGAGGGTCCTGGGTCCCGACGTGCCCCAGAGCTTCTGTGGCTCCTTGGGACCATTGGGAGGTCAGATGTTTCCGTGGGGCGCCTGCCCGCGAACTGATTTCTCATTACGCGCGCCTCCTGCTGTAGAGCGTGGGCCAAAGATTCGGCTTCCCTTTTCTGGCGCCTCGATTGGACCGCGCGACGAAGCAAATGCCTGGAGCGTGGAGCTGGAACCGGCTACGTGACCACCCACCTTCTTCTGACAGCCTGGCAATCCGCCGCTCCCCTCCCCCCTCCCCCCCGCTCATCCAACCGCTTGGTTCTGGTGCCAGGGCAGACGCTTCAACAAATACATATAGGTCTGATACTGATGCACCCGCTCTTCGCTGGCTCGCAGGGGAGCTCCAGAATGAGAGCCGCAGATCACAGACGACACAAGCAGACAATATTCTCCTACCCTGCACCTCCTCCTTCTCCTCCTCCTTCTCCTCCTCCTCCTCACTTCTTTCTGCCTCACTTCTTCCTGCTCCTCGTCCTTACTCCTCCTCGTCCTCCTCCTCCTCGTGATCCCTCCTCACTCCACCTTCGGGCACTTTATGTTTATGTAACCTACTCTCCCCTGTTCCCCGGCCAGAGGCCATCCAAGTCGAGCGGGTTGCATTGTGTTGTCGCACGTTTCCAGGACATAACTTCCGTCGCGCACATCAGCTCAATGCATCTGGTGCGAGGCCCTATCCGACCAGGGTAATTTCCGCTGTCATTACCGTTGTGCTGCGGGCATTTGCTGGTCTAGATGTGCGGGGTCCTACGACATAGTATAACGCGGGCCACGCGATCGCTCGTGCGTACAATTCGAAGAAACACCTGCCGCTCAAGAAACAGATGTCATATCTTTACGCGTCATATCTCCTAGCTCTCACGGACCTTCTGACAACATTCCTGCGCTGCCCGCGAACCGGGCTGCGGGCTTGAACGTGGCCGTTATCGAACTCTTGGATGAGCTCATCAATGGTGAGGTGGGCTTCGACAATGGGGAACGATTTAGAATCCGCAACAAGTTGCCATCGCTCACTTTTCACCGCTCTGGTATACAGGAAGAACTTTATGCTGCGAACGGCTGTGGATGAATCCACCTTGGCTGACATCCACGCGTGACAACCTCCCATGCCCGAACAAACTTCACCGCAGGACTCGGGCGTGCGTGTGGTAATTATGACGACGACAACGACAATGACGACGATGCTGATAATGATGATGGCGACGATGTCGAGGGAGACGACAACGACGATGACGATGATGATGACAGCGGTGGCGAAAATGACGATGATGATGGCAATGGTAACGCTGGCGATTGGGTTGATGACGATGATGATGAAGCGTGCGCGCAGACCATCTGTCATACTTCCAGTTTACCGTCAGCTGTCTTGTTTATCTCTACCTTCAAATGGTTGGACCGCCAATGGTTTTGCAATGGCTTCGACATGCGCGTGCAGGGGCGCACGCGTGTAGCCCGCATTGAATAGATTGATGGAGGTGGCTGGTGCTGAATGTCTGTTAAATTACTTCGACATGCGCGTGCGTGTGGCCCACTTGACTTAGTGACCAAACACATACAATTTTTCATGACTGCACGCACGCATGAGTCGTGTCAAGTTGCAACAAAATTGGTTCCCACATATGTTTGAAAAACTCAATATTGAACTGGTTGGGAAGCCAAGGGTGTATGACTGGTTTAGCATGCGCGTGCGTCGGGCCGTCAGCCCGCCTGGTATTCTGCGATATGGATATGGTCAACACGCACTTGTCAGATCAACGCGTACGCACTACACTTGTTAACAAAGATGATACGGAGGGGGGAAGGGCAATAACGGGATTGTCTGACAGGGTCTCAACTCATACTTGATATGATTGACCGAGCAAAGGCGAAAATCCTTGCCTCGGGGTGGGTCCCATGGCTGGGAGATGGTATCATCTGGTCTATGTAGGAGAAAGAACGAAGCTTTATGAACGGGTGGGTAGGTATGATCTCGCTCCGCTATCCTCTACATCACTCATCTTCCTCGCCTCCCTTCCGTAATCTCCTCCTTGTCCTCCATCTTCCTTCCATCTCCAACTTGCTCCTACTCCTTCCTCATACCCCTCTTTTTGTGATGTCGTGGAGCGTTACGTCATTGTGTGATGTGTTGTTGCGGTGCCGCGGTGTCGCCGTGGCTCCGCAACTCTGGTCGGGTGAGTTATGATGCGAAAGCGACGTCCAATACTTCCAATGGCTTCCGCCGACCTCTGCTGGCTTCCGGCAGTGCAACCGCCCTCGTTCTCCTTCGGGTTCGGCTACACGAAAGAGTGATCCTGGATAAGAGTGACCTTTGGTGCGCGGCTTTTGTGGGGCCATGGGGAACCGAGCACAAGCGCGCGAGACGCTACTATCACATTGCATTCGGCGGTCGAGGGGCCCCAATGGGCCCGCAGTCACTCCAGAGAAGGGTCACGCTTACGTCTAGTCGACCGGTGGTGTCCACGAGACTGCCGCCGGCCTCGGCCGAGGGAGACAGGTCAACCTCATGCTGCTTCAAAATCGAGGTCCTCCTTCGAACTTGCCAAGCGAATGCCACTTGTGAAACATCATGCGGAAACATACGGTTGGGGCATTGGATCAGGAACCCTTAGCTAAGGAATCCAGGGTCTGGAGGCCGGTGGAGCTCCAATCGAAGCTTGGCCATGGATATCACAGCCGCCCTCATCAGATAAGGAATCCTACAGGGTCTGCAGCCTCCTGGGCGCATTCCTTAACCAACGCCCCACCGTGTAACAACGAAACCATGTGCGCATTGTGATGCCCCGCTTTGGCCGACCAGCAATCCACCCTGGAGCTCCCCTGATGCTCGGCGTTTCTGGTGATACGCGCGCTGCTGGCGGCGCCAGGCGCGGCGTCAGGGCGACACGACGCCTGGCCAACCCGGCGACGCTCTGGCGGCTGCCACGGCGTAGCCTCAGGCCGGCCGTGCGGGGAGTGGAGCCGTGCGCGAGAGATGCGGGGCAAGTTGGCCCCGGAGGTCGGTCCGGCCTCCGGCAGGAGGCCCCAGCGCGGGCCGCGTGGAGTCGCAGCGGGTCCCGAGGGGCCTTCTCGAAGCGTTGCCCACGACGCGTGCCCAGAAGCTCTCGAGGTCCTCCGGGGCTCTCTCCGGGTCCTTCCGAGGTTCTTCGAAAGGCCCTTCCACGTCCTTCTGGCGCCCTGCTATCTTGGTTTTTGGGCCCCACAGGTGCGCGAGAGATGCGGGGCACCTGTGCAACAGAACGGATACAGCGACAGCAGCATATTTTCGATGCGGATGATGGAGGCGGCCAGGTGGAGGAGCGACGAGGGCGGAGAGGTGGCAGGACCAGGAAGAGAGGGGGGAGGAGGACGAGGAGGGGGAGGAGGAGGGGGAAGAGGAGGGGGAGGAGGAGGAGGGGGAGGAGGACCAGGAAGCGGAGGGGGACGCAGGGCTGGGCTGGGGGGCGAATTGGCGGGGTGGGGGGGCTGAGGTTGCGCTCTCCCAGCGAACGACGTCAACAAATGCGGTGCGCCTCTCTTGCAGCGGGAGCCTCGGTGGGGAAAGGAGCGCGCAGGCACCCTGGAGCCATCTCCCAAGGAGGCTCGGGATCCCCAGCCGAACCAAGCCTCGAAATCGGCCCACCAGGCTCAAGCGAGCGGCTCCAAGGACCACTTCGCTGAGAGCCATGGGGGCCAATTCCAGCATGCTTCTTGACGTCACGCCAGCGCGCGGGGGGCCCCAAGCAGTGCCTCCGCGCAGCGCGCGGGGTGCACTGCAAGCCTCGTGCTTCCCGGGAAGCGCCCACCAAGGAACGGCAGGGGCTTTTTCCTTCTCTGGCCACGGCGGGGCTCGGCCACGACCCGGCTCTTCGGCGTGACCTGAAGGATCGGCCCACACATAAGGCTATTCCTCTTCTTCCTCCTCCTCTTGCTCCTCCTCTTGCTCCTCCTCCTCCTCCTCCTCCTCCTCCTCCTCCTCTTCCTCTTCCTCCTCCTCCTCCGCCTCCTGAGCCCAGCGTGGTACGGTAGGGGCCCGACCACAAGAAACCTTCCACAGGAAACCCAATCCTGAGACCCCAGGACGTCCATCGATTTCTGGTGTGGGGGCGTCCCGCTTTTTCCATCGCAAAGCCATCGAAACCCAAGACACCCAGGGCACCCTGGAGGCAAGCAGGGTGTTTCTTGGCATGGGCCCCCACTGTACTTGTTTCAGCGTCGTGACTGTAGCCCCCCCCCCTCGTGCAAGCACGGCTCAGGAAATATTGAACCACGAAGCACGCTGAAGGCTTCGCAACCATCTGCACGGCCGTAGCACATCCCACCACGGGGATACGGTGGGAAACTTTGGGATGGCGTGTCGCGGCGGCGGCCCCGGCGACACGCTGTGCCCTGCGAGCGCACAGCGTGTCGCTCGGCTCCGCGGGCCGCGAGGCTGGGTCGGGGATGGACAGACCTCCCTTTAGTAGAACGTGGTCTAGTGAAAACGACCTCGGGCCCAAACCTGGCGGGCGCAAGCCTGGAAAACAACGGCCACGGCGCCCTCTCGAGAACCGAAAACGGACAATTCGCTAATCGACGTGCCACTGTTGGGGGTTCTGTCCGCCCCCGACTGGGGGCGAGCTCGGGACGTGGACGCCTGGGGACCGGGGCGTGGACAGCGTGCCGCGCCGAAGCGCAGTGGGCCAGAACCGGCGGCGCGACACGCTGTCCAGCAATTCCCAGCCGCAGGAGCTGTCTTATGCCGGCGGGCGCCAGGGTGTGCGAGACGGTCGGGCGCCGGTCGAAGCGAGCGGTGGGCTGCAGGGGAGGCCGACAGAGGCACGGAGCGGAAGAGCAAGAGACGGGATTAGGAGCCTGTTTTCCACCACCACCACCACAAGTTTGAGGGGGAAGGAGGTGGAGGAGGAGGAGGAGGAGGAAGCAGAGGAGGAGGAGGAGGAGGAGGAGGAGGAGGAGGAGGAGGAGGAGGAGGAGGAGGAGGAGGATGAGGAGGAGGAGGAGGAGGAGGAGGAGGAGGACCCCCTCCCCCTCCTACTTGGGGTGGTGGCGGTGGAAAGCAATTTACGCTGGAGTAATGGGGGGAACACAAAAGGGGGGACAGCAGTAGGTGCAGTAGTTTGTTTGCCTGGACTATTGCGCGCGAGCTATTGCACCAACTATTGCTGGGGGACACGCACTATTGCAAACCGCCTGAACTATTGCGCGCGAAACAAGACAAAACAATACCCACGCGGAACTGTTGCATCCACGCCGCGAACTATTACATCCAGGCGCCAACTATTGCATGAACCATTGCGCCTACTCCCGTCCCCCCACTTGTCTTCCCCCCACATTACTCCGGCTCAGAAGCAAGCCCACCACCGGAGGAGAGACAGAGGCAGAGCCCAGCCAAGACCGTGCAGGTCCGACCGCAGGAGCACACTCGGTTGAAGGGGCCCCAGGACACACAAATAAATACACACACATAAAATGATTCCCCATATTTTTTCATATTTTCTGGGTTTCTGTCTTCCCCCCCACTTCCCATATTTTCCCATATTTCCTGGGGGATCGAGGATTAATTGTGTCTGTGTGTTTTTTTCTCTCCTGATCGGTGTGAGACCGCGCCCTGAGCTGGCACGCCCCGAGGGGGTGGCGGGCGGGCGCCCTGCTCCCGCGCGGCCCGGGGCGCCTCGGCCTCCCGAGGCCTCGGGCGAGGTCGGGGCCGCAGAGCGCCGCCGTGCGGCCCCCCGCGGTCCCGCGGGAGGCGGGAGGCACCCGCGCGAGCAGCGCCCTCGCCGCAAGAGAGAGATATGCGAGGCACGTCCGTCGTCGAGCCCGGGGAGTCCCGAGCTGCACCAGGGCTGCCGCGGGCTCGGGCTCGGGCTCGGGCTCGGGCTCGGGCTCGGGCTCGGTCCCGGGCCCGGGTTTGGGCTCGGGCCCAGGCTCGGGCTCGGGCTCGGGGCCGTCGAAGGACACGAGGCTTCCGTGGGGTGCCTGCCGGCCAGCCTGGTCTTGATGTGCTTGCTGTAATCCATGCGGCAAGCGTCAGGATACACCCGATCGTTCGAGACCGTTCGCGCATCATGGCCTGCTCTCTCCATGGTATGCGATCTATGGTGCCCCTTGGCGGTCGAGTGTATCCATGATTGGCGCCTCTACCATCACCCACGGTGCCGTGAGGTGAGGTATGCTGCAGGATGTCGCCCCATGCTTGGCCGACATCGGAGAGCTTAGGCGAGGTCCACCTTCTCCCCCCCTCCTCCTCCTCCTCCTCCTCCTCCTCCTCCTCCTCCTCCTCCTCGTCCTCCTCCTCCTCCTCCTCCTCCTCCTCCTCCTCCTCCTCCTCCTCCTCCTCCTCCCCCTTCCCCCTGCTCCAAGTGGCATGAACCCTGGGATCGATCCCTCCATCGCACTCCAGCGTGAACTCCCTATGGGTAGCCCCCCAGATCCCCCACCCGCAAGGAGAGGGCATCTGCATGTCCTCTCTCCCCCCAGCGCCTCTCCGCCTCCCCGCCCTTCCTCTGCTCCCTCTGCCTCCCCCCCCCTCCCCTCTCCCACCTCCGCCTTCTCTCGTCCGAATGCCGTCGCCTCCTGGAAGCAAGGGCAGTGGTGGCCAGACAGTGGCCATGGTGCAGTGGCTTGACGTGCTGGCCAAAGAAGCGGTCACTCGAGCTCGCCATCGCGCGGACGTCCATTCCCTGCGCTTTTTTTGGTATCGTGCGTGGTTTTTTCGTGAAATGATCAAGGATGCTCCTC